GCTTGACGACTAAAACAATATAGACAATGGAGTCGTCTGAATATTAGCATGGACTTTCGATATGAAGCTACTATAAGACAATCCATCATCGTTCAGATAAGATTAATAGGCTCAAAACGGAAACTGGAGTTCAATCGAAATAATCCTCTTCAAGTTTTAATTTTCAAGTTCTAAACATACACGCATCTCTATCCTTTTCAATCATTAAAATCGAGAAAAATGTGCTGTGAATCTCTTTGTGGAACCGATGTCGAGAGATGCGTGCGTATTCGAAAGTTGAAACTAGTAACTTCAATTGAAGTTCAAATTTTAAATTTTATCCATCCATTAATCAACAAAAAATGACTGAAATAACCTCGCTATATGTCATTGTTCTTATAGATGAATTCATCCAAAGTACACAATAGAATTTATTGATGAAGAAAAATATAAGAAATTTTTTTTTAACATGTTTTTTTACGATGACTGATTAAAGTTGTTTTTATATATTTTAATAATTGTTTTTTTTCAATTTCCATCAGATCACGTTCTTTAATTGCTATATCACGTTCTTTAATTGTTATCTCTTGTTTTAGTTTTTCAATGTCCATTTTTGTATTATAAATTTTAATAAGCTCTGATCGATCCATGATATCGTACAAATTAAAATCAGTAGATGAATCATATTCCTGTAACTGAAACAATGATAGAAATCAGATGTACTTTATGATATAAAAATAGTTATATAAATGAACTCACATTATTATTATCAATATATATTTCATTTTCAACATTTGCTTGTACAACATTCGGCAAAATAATCTTACACATTTTTGTCTAAAAAAAACAAGACATGTTGATAAATATATATAAATTTGCCCGTCAAATGTGTTGACTGTTCAGGTCAAAAAATTCATTTTTTTCGTTAACATACGTCGTATTCTCCGCCATTCTGCTCGTCTCTCAACGAAAGATAATTGGCGCTGTATATATGTTGCAGTCAAAATTAAAGCTCAGTCAAATAAAAAATTTGCCTAGTCAAAAATTGAAATTTCAATTTCGTCCAATATAATCTCAGTCAAAATTGAAATTTCTTTTTTGATGAATAGAAAAAGGTAAAGAAAGACGAAAAATTAAAGCGTTAACAATTTTTTTTTGTTTTTTATTTCACAAAATTTATTAATAAATATCATATGAGAATGCAATAAGGATCTCGCGCTCATCCACATCCATGCTCACAACTAAACAGTCACATATGAGACACAGCCTACGCTCGTATCTACAGTCACATTCAGATCCACACATCAACGTTCACACCGAGACACTTCATACTAGGAGTGTAGCAAATCATAAGTCCTGAAATTTGATATTATTTGGTTTGGCTTTGAGATAAGATTTGAATTCTATTTGGGTTTGAGTTTGGATTTGGTTTCAAATGACTTACATCTCAAAGGATTTGGTAACATAAGGCAAACATCAATAATAATCTACTTTACTAGAGAAGCAGCACAATAAGAAAAAGATTTTGCGATTTGGCACGAAATCCTTAGTATTTAGATGAGGATTTTGTCTTGGACAAAAGTAATATAAATAGTTTGCATTTTGATAACGGTCGCCAAATTGCAAATTGTTTATGTGGATTTGATCCAAAAGCAAATCTATGCTCCAAATCCAAATCTAAGATCCAAATATAAATACAAACCAAATTCCAAGACCATTGATCATAAATCTCAAATCTATTATAAATTTGTTACACCGTTACTGCAGACCCAAATTCATATCCTCTATTAACAAGATTTTACCTTTTTCTGTTCATTAACAAAGAAATTTCAATTTCAATTTTGTCTAGACAAAACCAAAATTTTAATTTTGACTAGGTAATTTTTAAATTTGACTGAATTTTAATTTTGACTGCAATATATATATATATAGTTATCCTGATAAACTGAAGCAAAGAAAGGCAAATGCTTTTATATAACAGCACAAGTGTACTTGACTTAGCTACGAATCTATGACTAAGATTATTTCAACAGTTGAGAAGACTTCTTCATATATTCTTAACTACTATTCTTTTTTATACGTGTAACTTATTCTTTTCAACCTTCAGTTTGGTGTAAAATTACTTTATTAAAACAATGTGTCAATTAGCTAGATGTTAAGAGTTTAGAAATCAAGCGTTTTGTTGTACAAAAGGTTTGGCTTGTTTAGCATCAATTTTCTGACTAATTTTCACCGGATTAATTTATGTTCAGTCTAATTTAGATTTCATCATTTCTTGCTATCTCGAGTCAATATTCTAAAAAAAGGAAATTCTTAAAATTTGATATCATTTATACGCTATTGTTGACATCACATTCTGTAGTGGTTAAGAACTAGACTTGATCTAATATGCTGAAATGTGATCGTTTCGAGTTGCTCTTATCAGAAAAAACAATATTTTATTTTCGCTGTCAAAATTAAAGTAATAAATTATGAAATCTTTTAAGTAGAAAGAAATTTTGCAGCTTTATACGTACTGATTGTCGATTTGCTTTTCTAAAGTCGATCGATGAAAAATGAGCCGAATCTCTTCTATCATTGGAATGCCCGTTTGATTTGCGTGTATTTTCATTTGTTTCATTTGAATCTTCATTTGTTTCATTTGAATCTTCATTTGTTTCATATGAATTTTCGTTTGTTTCATATAAATTTTCACCTTTTTTATTCGAATTTTCATTTGTTTCACTTGAATCTTCATTTGTTTTATTAGAACTTTCATTCGTTTCATATAAATTTTCATTTTGTTCATTCGATTTTTCATTTGTTTCATATAGATTTTCATTTGTTTCATATAGATTTTCATTTGTTTCATATAGATTTTCATTTGTTTCATTCGAATTTTCATTTGTTTCATTTGAATTTTCATTTGTTTCATTTGAATTTTCATTTTGTTCATTCGATTTTTCATTTGTTTCATATAGATTTTCATTTGTTTCATATAGATTTTCATTTGTTTCATTTGAATTTTCATTTGTTGCATTCGAATTTTCATTTGTTGCATTTGAATTTTCATTTGTTGTGTTTGAGTTTTGATTTGTTCCATTTGAATTCACATTCGGAAGTTCATTTGTATCGTTCAACTCTTTATCATTATAACTGCTATTCAATGAAGAAGACGGCTCATATAGTTCACTTGAAGTAGAAGATAAGTGCTCGCTCTCACTGGCTGAAATTGAAATGCATACTTCAGATTATATTTTATGTAAATATCAACTTACAAAGAGAGATTGCAAGTGCAGCTATAGATTCGGTCGCTTTTGCTGCAGCTTGTCGTTTTGCCATGATATTTAACAGGAAAGAATCTTAAAAGAGAAAAAATATTGTGTAGATCGTGTTACATCAGTTTTTCATAAAATAATGAAGGAAAGAAACAAATAAACATGTAAGACACGATTTTTTATTATTATCATACTCTTATGAGAAACAACAGTAACAAATATCCTGTAAAGTTGTGTTTGCTTTCGTTTCAATGAGTAATTCGGACATTGATGAATGATAGTAAAGGATTGATGAATGCAAGTTGAGTAAAATAAGTTATTTCTATATAATATAAGGTCAGTCGACACCAGTCTATGGTCAAGTTGAATGAAAATTATTGTTTTGATAAACCTAAAATATTCAATTGGTCGCTACTTGTTTCCTGCGAATATTCAGAATTAGAAAGTTTCAAGATGAAATTTATATATATTATACAAGATTTTATTCTCTGCTAAATGTTTAAAAAAATATTTAACTTTAAATTATATCATCGGGGCTATATAGAGTTTACACCTCTCTTTTGTTACAGTGAGTATAGAAAGAGGACAGAGGCAGGTAGCTGAAGTTTCATCATGTAGCACAATAATCTCGGAATGTACTTCCGTTTCATCGTTTTGTTTGTCATAGTTTGTGATAGTCTATGCGAGAAAAGGACAATTAGTGAGTTCAAGTTTCTATCTCTACACTTCAACATGCCTTTTAGATCGTGTTTAAAACAAGTTGTCTGGACGATTCAATCTCTACGATCATGTCTGGAAAGGGGTGAAGAGTTTCTATTAAGCTTCTCAAGCACATTTTCAAGCGAAGCTCTATCACTTACCAGAAGAAACGTTCAAAATCTTTTGGAAGAGAGAACTGAGGCTTTCTAGCGCTCATCTGGTTATGTCTCATGTACTGCAAATTCTCGTTCTTAACCTATTCCTAGTCTAAATAAAATATTACTCAAAATGGAGTCAATTATAGAAAATTATCTAATTTAGACTTCTACATAAGCTCCGATTGTCCTTGATGAAAAATTAATCAATAACCTGCAAAATCTTTCACATTTATTTTTTCTGGTTCATACCTAAAAACTAATTCCAACAAGGAAAAAGATATTATACCAAATATAGAAGAAGAAAAAATCGGTAACAAAAGTTAGTAGAAATAGACATGCATAGAATTTTTTCTGAGTAGACTGTTTTGATTTCATTCTCTACACAAAAGACAAAAAAGAAACAACTTGATCGGAGTATGATTAACAAATATATTATTGTTGTTGGCGAAAATGCTTTTTGTTCGAATAACCATTAGTTGGATGAGTTCGATGATTTACTTGTTGTTGTAATTGTGCTAATTGTTTACTAGGTGGATAAATGTACATATTCAACTGGTTGTTTAAAACCAACTGATATGTATTCCATTTAGTTGTCTATATATTGCTGTTGCTGATGTTGATGGTGAAATGGTCACATCACTTGATTTTTTCATTGTTGATGATTTAGTTATCATTAATGATGTTTGATTATATTCTGGATTACTTCCATTATTAACAATACTAAGTAATATTGATTGAATATTACGAACAAACAGTTAATTATTTGACATTAGTAAAAAGGCTTTTAGTGAAACAATATTTGATTGTTGAGAATAATGAAGATTTGTTACTGTTGAAGATAAATTATTATGATTTAATGATGCTAATTGAATTGGTTTTGTTTGTTGAGATGATTTATATGAATAATGTAATATTTTCGAAAATAAATCAAATGAAACACGTTTACAATCAACAAATTTAGCTAATTGAATTAAATTCGCTTATAAATAAAACAAAAAGAAAAAATCATTGTTTTACAAAAAAAAGACTTTATATTACCATGAGTCTTTTTTGCATATAAAATTTTATTACGTATTTTCTTCTTAAATACATTTTTATCTTGTGCTGACCATAGATAATTTACATCAAAACTATCTAAACAACATAAATATGCTTGTGATAGTAAATTAAGAAATCGTCTGTGTAATGGTCGCATTGTATTTGTGCCTAATTCACATATTTCATTTTGATCAACGAATTGAACCTTAAATCAAAACAAATATATAACTAAAAAAATTTTTATTTTATTTGAAATAATAAACCCATGCTAAATTTGTTGTTGATTTAAATTCTAATACATATGCATGATACCAATATGTTTGATAATGAACAGCAACCATTTGATCACGACAATATGTAGCAGCTGTTGATATACGTTGGCGTTGTTCAGTTGAATATAAATCTCTTGAAAAAGAAAAAAAACAATAAAATTTTATTCTTAAGAGGAAAATAAAAGAAAAAATATTTACGCCATATTTCGATGAAGATCATTAAGCATTTGATTTAGTTCGATTTCTTCTGAATGATAAAGAGCAGCTAGAAGATGCAAAAAAAACGATATTCCTTCATCCAAATACTAATATTATATAAGATTCGATAAGAAACGTTTTGCAATGAATGTTATCTTATGAAACAAGCATTTCTGAACTAAATCAGTCGTCACAGACATTTCCATGGCCTATATTTATAGAATTGCACTCATTCTACAAGATGCATGAAGACGAAGTTTTCTATTGTTTTTATGAAAATTTCATAAAATTGACTGTGATGTATGCTATGAAATCTATAGTAGAATAAGTACAGTTCGATGAAAATAGATTACGGATAAATTGGCGATGACTTATTTTATTCAGAAATATTTGGTTTATTAAATGAAGTTATTTTCAAAATGAGAAAGCTGATTTTTAAAGGTCTTGGTTTTACAGATAGTCTTCTGAATAAAATTTTAAAGTAATTGCTTTGATAGAAAATAATTTTAGTCACTAAAATTTTTTTTCCTATTTGTCGTAATTATTACTTTTACGAGAAAAACTCAAAAATAGATATTTTTGTAACAAAAAAAAATCGATTATCTTTTTTAAAGTCTAAAAGTTTCGTCTTTCTAATATTCAAAAAATATATTCAATTAATATTAAAATACGTACGTTCATTGCCTTGACCAAGTGTAGTATCAATACCAAATGGATATCGAATATAAAATTCATCCACTGATTTCACATGTGTTTTACTTCAACAACATACCAATGTCGTCGTTACGGTTCGATAACAAATGGACAATATGGTAAATTTTCTATGCCAAGCAAAACAAAAGAAAAAGATTTACAATCTAATTAGCTCTCACCACATGAACAAAAATAAAAAACAATTTCAGTACAAATTACATAAAACTTTCAACTCAATATGATAAAAATATAGTTCATTCAGAGTCGGTTTTTCAAGCCTTAACTTTTCTATGTCGAGAAACAGAAAAACTGATTCACCATTGCGAAAAGAAACTCTTCTTCTTTCATAAAAATATCGGATACTATTCTGTCTAAGCAATAGTCCGATTTTAGAATGGAATGATGGGGAAGGATGGTAATTCTATTTATTTATTAACCTTCATCTTCAAGTATCAAGTAGAGGAAGTGGTTCACCATTCGTTGAACTAGTAATTGAATTATTGATTTGTTTGTTTTGTGGTTGTTCATAACTAACAATAACTGGATTTTTTTCTAATAAAAACTGATAATGTTGCTTGTGTTTTATTAGTTTGTTGTTGTGTATAATTTCTTTGAGATTCCATATATTATCTAATACGATAATTTTTATAACCATTTAAATCATTCATTGAATCATTAGCAATATGCATATATTCTATATAATTTGGATCAGATATTGCAAATTTTTTTTCAATTAATCGTTCATTAATTGAATTAATTGTTGTATTCGTATCATATAATATAAATGAGTAATGATGGATCATCAAGTCTTTAAAACAAGAAAAAAAAACTTTTTTTCAAAAAGAAATTAGTTTTTTGTTTTACTTTGTAGCTTGTATGGATGTATTTAATGAATAAAATAATCGAAATATATTAAAACCTTTTCCACCAATAAAACGATTCATTAAATTAATAGCTTCACGTGACC